TGCTTCTCCCTCTCCCACTCCCCCTGCTTGTGTTCCTGCTCTCGCTATCTCTCTCTGTGTCAAATAAATAAAATCTTTAAAAAAAAAAAAAAAAAGAGTTGACACTTAACCAACTGCACCACCCAGGCACCCCAACAGCCAACTGAAAACAGGTCAGGATACCAGAGAGAAGTTATGGCTAAAAATGAAGATTTTAAAGTCACCATGTGATAGTGAACTGAGTGATACTTCATGCCGTCAGTGACCCTGAACCTTTGAGAAGACCTTTAAATTTAGGTATTAAAGACTATTACCATAAAGTTAAGTCTGGGAAGTTCTGTACCATTGGTAATCTCCCTTTGACAAATCCTGCAGGACCTATAATGGCAGTTTTTCGACAGCTAAAAATGTATGTAGATATTGTTTCTTAATTCTTGTTTCATAATTATTAAAATTTAAGCATTTTTCATTCAATTGACAGACAAACTTCCTATAATTAGACACCAGAATGTCATGAATTATGTCCAACTATGCAAGATAAGGGATCTATGACGTAAATACCTATCATGTACCAAACTTTCTATATGAGTTGTAACATTTAATTCTCTTTTTTAAAATATTATTTATTTGAAAGAGAGTACACGAGAGAGAGCAAGGGCAAGGGGGGAGTGGGGAGGGGCAGAGGGAGAGGGAGAAGCAGATGCCCTGCTGAATAGGGAGCCCGATGTGGGACTCGATCCCAGGATCCCGGGACCACGACACGAGCTGAAGTAGATGCCTAACAGACTGAGACACCCAGGCGCCCCAACATTTAATTCTCATAACAATCTCCACAATCGTTATTTTTATCAAGTATTCTTTTTCTTCTTATCGGTTTTATGTTACTAGTTCAGTGGTTGCTTCCATGATTCTGACCTCAACCTCTCAGTATCATTCCACATCTGGCCACTGACATTCAGTGACAAAACCCTTCTTGCAACACGTTCTTCTCTTAAACAGCCTGACTCTACAATCTCCCGGAAATGTTCTTATGCTAGGACGCTCCTCTGCTGGTTCACGAGGCCCATGCTGGGTTTGCTTTCTGTCGCTGTCTACACATCTCTCCTAAGCAAACTCACCAGCTCCCATTAAATGCCAGCTTGGTTTTCTGAATATGGTCCCTGGATGAGAAGTATCGGCATCAGCTGGGAAATTATTAGAAAAGGAAATTATTGGGTCCTCCTAGATGAGAAGAATCAGAAATTGAGAATGGGCCCAGCAACTAGTGCTTTTACAAGCTCTGTAGGTTCCTTTGATGCACTCTGAAGTTTGGAAACCAGAGCTATAGATTAGTGTTTTTCATATTGCAGGTTGCGACTTGGTAGTCAAGAAATAAACTGAGCTGCAAACAGCATTTTAAAAAATGAAACAGAATAAAAAAAATAAAGTTTTTCATATGTTATAAAAGTAAGTAATATTTTGTGAAACCTTTGTTTCGATTATAAATGCACTAAGTGTGTGTGTACACATCTATACTTGATTGTAAAGATTTTATTTATTTATTTGACAGAGAGAGAGCGAGCGAGAGAGGGAACACAAGCAGGGGGAGTGGGAGAGGGAGAAGCAGGCTTCCTGCTGAGCAGGGAGCCCAATGCGGGGTCGATCCCAGGATCCTGGGAACATAACCTGAGCCGAAGGCAGACGCTTAATGACTGAGCTACCCAGATGTCCCTATACTTGACTGTTAAGTAAAATATAGGTTACTATGGATCACAATCTGGAAAAAAAAAAAAAAAATCTGATCTATAGGACTATATAAGCCAGCTCTTTGATTCCTTCTTGTCACTTTGGTCTTATCTTGGCCTTTCTTTCCCATTCTACTTAATGTTGACTCCTCCAAAGCATTTATTCTCACACTATGTTGAATATTTTATTTAGACTATTTATCAATATTTTAACTATCTTATTGTTTATAATCTTTCTCTCCCACTAGAATATAAGCTAATAGGAAGAGAGATCTTATTCCCCACTATGTTCCCAATACCTAGAACAATGTCTGCCCACCTATAATATCCACTCAATAAACATTTTATGGCAGGATGAAGTTTATGACTAAGTAACTTAGCAAAGCTCACCTAAGTTAAATTATTTTTTAAAGATTTTATTCATTTATTCATGAGAGACAGAAAGAGAGAGGCAGAAGGAGAAGCAGGCTCCCCATTGAGCAGGGAGCCCAATGCAGGTCTCAATCCCAGGACCCCAGGATCACGACCTGAGCCGAAGGCAGACACTTAACTGCCTGAGCCATCCAGGTGCCCCAGATTTTAACTATACTTTAAAATCCTATGTGTCTCATGTCTGTGATCTCTCTAATGCAATCACCACTTCCTGGTGGTCCTAAGGCTTGGATTCCAGCCATCCACTTCACAGTCCTGGACCATACTTAGTTTGGGACAATAAGAATCTGGTAAGACAGTGAACCAATCTACTCTTAGTTTTAGATAGAGGAACAGAGTAGTCATTTCATGAGATTAAAAAGCCATGGGATCCATTTCACAAAGAAATATAAGAAAGCTAGAGGCTTTAGGCTCACCTACATTTTAAATGTGAACTATCTAACACCCCATACAGTTCAAACTCTTCTGCAGAAAGATGAACAGTGAATTCAATGGGAAGGGAAAAGTATGCTGAGAAGGAAAAAATTAGAGAGCAAAACAAATGGGAAGTCATATTCACAGCCCAAATATATTTGCTGGAGAATCTGTGAAATGTTATGGCTATAAGATGATTTAGGAATTAGAAGTCTTTTTCTGCATGCAGTGCAAATCGGTGCCTTCCTGAACCCCACTAATGCTGTGAATTTGTTTGTGCACATGTGTGAACACATATATACATGACTGGAACTTGGGGGAGGGTGCGCTCTTCTATCTTAAGGCCTCAAAGTGATATTCACTAGATAACCCCAAGCACTTTGTACCTACTTCTGCCATAGTAAATGAGACTTAAGTTAACGGGAAGTATAGAAGAAGAGTACAGGCTCTGGAGTCAGAGAGTCTGGGTTTAAATCACATTTCTACTACTTACCGGCTATGTAACTTTGAACATATTCCTTAATTTTTCTGAGCCTCAGTTTATTTGTATAATTAGAGATCTCACAGGTTAGTATATCGATTGGGTTAATAATACATAAAGGCCCGGCACATCGATACCAGAGTGCTTACTAGATATCACAATCCTTATACCAAACTCTTCAAATCCTTTTCTCCTCAGATTCTAACAACCCTATGAGGAAGATTATTACAAGACTTCCCTTCCCCTATTACAGATGAGCAAGTGTGAGCCATGAAGGGGTTAACTTGTCCATGAATTCACAACTAAATAGAACTAGGATTAGAACATAGTCTTAGTCACATGCTAAGCCAGATTTCCTAACAACTATGCAGATATGGGCATTCTAGCATCCCAGAAATTATGAATAACCAATGAGATATCTCCACTCAGCTGCAGCTGTCCTGATACCTGTATCAGAACAAGGGCTTGTGTTACATGTGCGCACACACCTATCAATCATCTCCATCATGTGTAACTCTCCAAAAGAGGTGGAGAAACAAAGCACTGCAGCACATTGATCAAATTTTGTTCCCTTCTAGGTTAGTGACCCCAACAAGAAAAAAGGAGCTATGTTTTAATTCTTTCATAACAGATTTACTTAACACTGTTGGGAAAAAAGCAGTCGGCTTTCAACAGAGATCTGTTGAATTAATGAAGAAATAATGCACCAGAAAGGGCTGTATAAAATCAAAGTGCAAATCAATTTTTTATAAAGCCAACTAAATAATTATAAACATTATCTATTTATATTCAAATTTATATACATACTACTGTATTTAGAAAAGTATCAAGTTGGGGTGCCTGGGTGGCTCAGTTGGTTAAGCGACTGCCTTCGGCTCAGGTCATGATCCTGGAGTCCCGGGATCGAGTCCCGCATTGGGCTCCCTGTTTGGCAGGAAGTCTGCTTCTCCCTCTGACCCTCCTCCCTCTCATGCTCTCTGCATCTCATTCTCTCTCTCTCAAATAAATAAATAAAATCTTCAAAAAAAAAAAAAGTATCAAGTTATAAAAATCAACATAATAATTATTAGTAAGAGCTATAATACTTGTTGAAATTTTACTATATGGCAGGCTAAAGGCTTTATCACCTTGTTTTAATCTTTACCACACACCTCTGAAGGAAGAACCATGATTTTTATAGAAGAGGGTATGCTGAAGGTCATAATTTTAACTCCTTCGATATCTATATCAAACTTTTTCTAAATTGTGGAAGGAACAAGATTATTTTTAAAAGAACATTTACATATTTCACAAACCATAAAATCCACCCATTTAAATATATAATCCTGGGGTTTTACTATATTCACTATCACCACAATCTAATTTTAGGGTATTTTTCATCCTCCCCCAAAAAATTCCATGTACAACAGCAATCGGATCTAACTATATATACTTTACATGCATAAAAGAGATGCAAATTCTTTTAAATAAAGCCTCCATTAAATATATGTATGAATGTATATTTGATACAGTTAATGCAAAGAAAATCATGAAAGGAACTGTAAAGGAGAAAATATGACTCGGGTCTTTTCTAATTTTGTATTAGCAACATCACCAATGGTTTGAATAGAGCAAGTAATCAAGAGCTGACATCCACATCCAACTCAGATTACTGTGGGTCAAACTGAGAGTTAAAGGACTTCTTAGCATTTTCACATTCACATCCAAATATTAAGATTAGGAGGAAATGTAGATAAAATAGTGTATAACCCACTGCCTTTGATATTCACTCCAATACTATATTAGTGTTAAGGAGGAAAGTTTAGGAAAATAAAGTCATAAAAGGAGATATAACATTTTCCTTTTCAGCATGATATGCTTATGCACATTTTTCCAAGAACCCACAGCATTGCATTTGATAATTGACAATACTCCTGAAAGCACAATTAAATGAACTCCGCATTCACTTCAAAAAATGAAAAGGAACTCACTGTTGGTAAATGCATATTCTTCTTCATTTTCGTCACTGTCCTCAGACGGAGCTTTATAAGGAGGTGGCAGTTTCACTGGAGGTGGAGCTGTTCCTTGTCTCTGAAAATGCAAAATTTGAGAGAAGGTTAATTGCCTTTGCACAATCCTCTTCCTCAATGACAAACAGGTTAAAAAAATAATCTGGAAATATTTTGACTGAATCCAACTTCAGTCATATAACAAGGACTGTAAAACAATTTGTTTTCTTATATTTATGTTATTATGTAAGTGACTGTGATGTAAGCACACCACTACAGAAAACAGGAATTCAAAAGCACAGCATTTAAGACTGTTGACCTACCCAGAAGAATGCATTCCTTTCCCCAGTGAGAAAGCCAATTATGTATATTTTATTTACAGTTACCAACCAAATAATCCAAATGAAAAACATTTCAAAATCCACTGTATTTTTACATTTATTTAAACTGTTCATCAAATTGTAGAAGGTACAGATTTCATTCTTTAAAAAATAGCTGAAATGAAATGCTAAGATTTTCTAACTGAAAAAATATTCATCTGTAATTTATAGTCAACACACATTTTAATGTTTTAAAAAAGAAAGAAATCTTTATGATGAATACTTTTTGTATTTCGGTGTAAGTATTCTCTAAATTTACACACCACATGATACAGCACATAAATATTTGGTTCGGACTTAATTAAAGCAAAACAAAACTCAATGATCAGATTACCTTCACAGAATGCAGACATTTTCTTGAACGCTGGGAAAAATAAAACATGCTAAAGTTTATGGAGGTCCAAGCTGCTAAAAAGAATAGGAGCTGATATACGCAAGCACTCCACAGATACCAAAATAACTGGACTAAGATTTTGTTTTGCTACAGGGTTTCAGTAAGTACATTCAATTATGATTTACATGACAAAACCACTAATGGCAGGATACACCCCAGTAAATGGACAATGACTGGTCCATTACAGAAAGCAGGCATGTAATAAATTCCTCCAAAGCAGAAAACACTCTCTGCGATCCATAAACAAAAACACACACCCAAATTTATTTAACATAATGTCTAACCAAAGCAGCACTTCATCTATATGTAGAAAATTCAAAAATCAGTAAAATGCAGGAGTGATGAAGAAAGAGAAGATGCCAAATACAAAATGCCTATTAAGCAACAAAAGAATACAGAAATGTGATCATGCTGTATCTTTATTCTTCCTTGGAAAACCTTAGAAGTGAGTTAAATGAAGAGTAAAAAAGACAAATGGATTCCTTTCAGTAAACCTTTTCCTCAGAACCACATCATTCTAGGTCAAATTAATAGTTGGAACAAGGACAGCCAGCTTTTAATATTGAGAGAGAATTCTCTTTGACAGTGTTTTAAAAACATATTTCAGAGGAAACTGTTTACACCACTGATTTATTAAAATTAAATTCTCCAACACTGTGGAAAAGAATATAGAATAAGCATGTCTTGGTGACCCTAAAGTTTGAATGTGGGTTGCCATATACCTGGGGCATCTTTCTACTGTACATGAGGGAAGGTTATAGGCAGGACCTGGCTCTCTCTGTGGCAATGAAGGCTGGAGCAAGGTACATACAAGGAGGCCAGGTGAATGTAATCTCCATGAGGGCAGAGAACAATAGTGTCGTATCCTCACTCTGAGAACAGTGTCCAGTACGAAGCAGGCCTCCCTTAACTATATGCTGAATGAGTAAATAACTGGTTGTCAGTCATGCCAATTAGGTCTTCTAACATATTACCTTCTAGAAAAATGACAATGATGGAAAAGGTTCTTGTCCAATAGCAGTGCATATTAATTTTGTCTGGTAGAGATGCAAATTATTTTAGTCCTGTAGAAAGGATAACTCCAAAGGTTATGGTTTTATTTCCCTGTAAGACGTTAACCAGTTTTGTATCTAAATTTGAATCTAACTTATGTATTCTTTCTTTCTTTCTCTCTCTCTCTCTCTCTCTCTCTCTCTCTTGCTCTCGCTCTCTCTTTCTTTGACACAGAGGGAGAGCGCACAAGGAAGGGAAGGGCAGGCAGGGGGAGGGAGAAGCAGGCTCCCCGCTGAGCAGGGAGCCCCCTATGTGGGGCTTGATCTGAGGACTCTGGGATCATGACCTGAGCTGAAGGCGGATGTCTAACCGACTAAGCCACCCAGGCACCCCTGCATTCTTTCTTTGAACAATTAATAAATACTTCACTGTCTCCAGTTCTCTCTGAACCAGGCTAACCATCTTGTTGGTTCCCTCGTTAATGAGTTAAGTAAATAAATGTACATTTTGCATAATTTTATAGGTCACATTTTTATTTCTTAAATTATATTTTGTCAGTTATGGAAGTCTGTTCAAGTAGACTCACCTTCAAGAACCAGTTAAACAGTTACGCCTGAAATATGCAATTCATGAACTGCATAAGCCCATATACATGATTTTTTGGCACCCACAGTAAATCCCCAGTGGCAACAGAACTTTGTCTTTTTGACTCCGTTTCTCTTATTTCCAACCCTATGATTTTGTTTCTGATACTAAGCCAAGTTTGGCTCTGATTTGCACTTGGGCTATAAGTTATTTCCCATTAGTAGCAGCAATAAATGGAGTTTGGTGTTACGGTCTAACAATTTAGTGGTATTTGAGGGTCTATTATATATTGGTTCTACAGGGATCTATTCTCTATAGGGTGAGAGACAACAGCAAAGGTTGTTACTCTTTGTTTGCCTGTTGGTAAGTTTTTGTATACTAACAGGTCTTGAGTCCAATGGAAATAATAGCTTTTCGACATACAGACCAGGGGGCTTGTGTACTTCTCAGTTTACATGTGTCTTATGGCTGAAGCTGCAGGATAGGAGCTGAAAGTGCTCTGTGTAGCTGAAAGTGAGGAAAGCCCTTATGTCTCACTGTGAGAAATATTTTCCTACCTTCAGAGGATGCTAATAAATTAGAAAAAAAATCTTTCTGATCGGTTTGAAGAGACTAATAAGCATTGTTAAATCTAATATTCCCAGAGTTTTTCAGAAAATAGTAAAACTAAACTCACATTACCTTAGATGTGACAGCCTTTTAATTAAAAACCAAAATCCATTTTTACAAAAACCAGTAACTCAGAAGCATTTTAATGTGACAATCCAGATTCACAATATCAAAGTGATTTGGTGATTTAAATTTAGAAACAGTTCTACTTTCTTCCTGATATCCTTGATCTTACTGATGTGGTGTATAAAGCAAAAATATGTAAGACTGTAAAAACATTTACAACAATGTTGCATGATCCCCACATGTCTACATACTATGTATGTATACAGATATATTTACATATTGCAGAGTATTGTCAGGTAGTTCTAAGACCTAACACAATGTGGAATATCATGAGAGAACACTATCATCTGTTGCTGTTAAGAATAATCAAAGATGGGGCGCCTGGGTGGCTCTGCGTCTGGCTAAGCGTCTGCCTTCAGTTCATGTCATGGTCCCGGGGTCCTGGGATCAAACCCCGCATTGGGCTCCCTGCTTGGCAGTAAGCCTGCTTCTCCCTCTTCCACTCCCCCTGCTTGTGTTCCCTCTCTCGCTGTCTCTGTCAAATAAATAAATAAAATCTTAAAAAAAAAAAAAAAAGAATAATCAAAGAGCACATCCTGTAACATTCTAAGTGCCACCAGGAAGATCACAAGAAATGATTTTGATCTTTGCAAAAACCTTCATGATGTTCTCCTTAGCCCCAGGCTAAGCATGTCCAGATTTCTCACTTGAAATAGATGCACGTCTTCACACACCTTACGGAGGAATAATTTAAATATAATAAAATGTACTCCATTTAAGTACTTACTTGGAATAGATACATTTTTATAAGTTTAACATGACTGTATTTTTAGGGACTATTATGTTTGGTGGGAGACGACACTTTCATTTGGGTAGTACATAAAAAGAAAAGAGAACTAACAGTAGGAGACTACTTCTCTGTGAACGAACATCTCCCACTTGTGTTCGTGTCCGTGACTCCTTTAAGACAAAGAATATATGATGTAAACCTGAAGAAAATTTTAGAAGGAAAATACCAAAGAGTTACGAGGATATAGTTAATATTAGTATGTCTATGACTCCTGATGGCCTGTCTTTTCACACTCTGTGATGAGAAACAGCACAGACAATAGTGAACTGAAACAAAACAAGAAAAAAACTAGGAATTTATTCAAGACCTGTTTATGTATTTTTTGGTGTTTTTTTGGGGGGGGGTAACTTAGTTTCTTAGTCACACTCTCTTTTTTTAAAATGTGAATGATCTCAAGCCAAAATTTAGATTTCTAGCCTACACCTGTCCTAGTAATTGGCTTCAGGTACTTTTTTTTTTTTAAGATTTATTTATTTATGAGGGGGGAGTGAGGGGGGAGGGGGGTAGAGGGAGAGGGAGAGAGAGACTCTTAAGCTGACTTGTAGCTGAGCATGGAGCCCCCTGATATCATGACCTGAGCCGAAATCAAGAGTCAGGCACTTAACTGTGCCACCCAAGTGTCCCATTTCAGGTGTTTTTTATCGTGTCTTTTTTGATTGTCTAGGTAATTCTAGAGAACATGCACTGCTTTTGTATTAAGGAGGAAATAATGCATAAAAGGAATTACTTCTAATGATACTTTTTAAAGAGATAATATAATTAGTAATCATCTGACCTCCCAACTTTGGGAAGGTCCCCCTGTCTGCATCCTGCACATGCTTCTATCATCATAATTATACTTCTATTTATTTCACTACGTGTCACATTCACTGGTGCACCTCTTGGAGTAAAGATGCTTCATCATTCCAGAAGGTAGTATAGTGCTTGGCATGTAAACTGTGATTTCAGAGAAGAGACACAGTAAAGTACATCCTGTAACCACTGAAAACAATTAAGTACAATCTTGTAACCACTGAAACATCATCCTGTAATAGAGACACAGACACTGGTATGACTTCTCTCATTGCAATGTTAACTCAGTGGTTATTCTCTATACCAAAGAATTCAGCTGGACCGACTTTCGTGACTTTTGGTTATTACCGAGCTCTTACTGCATTTTTAAAATTTGAATGCAAATATCCTTGCTTTGTATTGAGATTCAATTT